GATCGGATACGATTCATGGATATTTATACGAAATACACGATCTAGATTCAGCAACTTGAAAATCATTTCATAATACGACTGAGACTCTCTGCACTAGATAATCGAATTTTAGTCTTTTGTTTCCACAATTGTTCGCAAAAATATGCAAAAAAAACTTTAGATTGAGTTGGAAGAATTCAGTTGTCGGATCGCTTCGTTGACGGCGTTCCTTCCAATTATAATGGCATACAGAAAAAAGATGACATTATCTGAGTGTTTCCCAAGAACACGAATAGGAATTTTGCGATGTGTTCCTGACTGAAGGTACTTGGTGAACAACTCACAAAAAATGAAAGCGATTGCATTAACACTCATATTCTCCTTTCTGGGTGTATCAAGCTATGTGTCAAGTACATCCTTTCTGCAAAAATGGGTCAAATTCACAAAAGTACTTAAACTGCATGAACACGTCTCTGCTGGCAATCCATGCATAAACTGATTCAAGAGTAGACTACGTGAATGGAATTATCCCGATAAAACTGCAATTCTGCCATAAAATATAGACATATTTCAGTCAACAATGCTTGAATTATTCGGCTGAATGTTGCCTCGATGAAGTTAAAACAATTCAGCTAAGGATCAACCGAACAAAGATTTAAGATCCAAGGCTGACTCGGTTCGTTTCGCCATTTTGCTTGGTCCTTTAGTCATTTTCGGTAAGCAGCTCAAGCACTGTTTCGTTAAAATTCAACCTCAACGCAGCAATTCATCAACTGACGAAATAAAACCCTGTACGGCCTTATAAGTAACCATGAGGAAGGCATAAAAGAACTTATCAGTTCCTTAGATAAAGAACTTATTTTAATGATGGGATGAATTCATATGGATGTTCGAATCACTCAAAAAACACACTAAGGGTCAATAGTCGCAAACTTATTGTTTCATCTCATGTAGTGAAGGCATGAATATGCCAGTTGATTGCATCAATTGTGATGGGTGAGTTCACTGAACTGAAGCTTTATTACTGTAAATTCTATGAAAACGACAATGACTCTGTACATTTGCATTGAGATGGGTAATGAAACTGATATAATATTTTTTATAGAATAGCAGAACAGATATGAAAGGATTTCAGTCAGATTATGATCTCGCATAATGCTTCCTCATCTTTGTCAGAACACGGCGATGATAACCCCCCGTTTGTTGGTACTGTGGAGAGGACACGACGTTAGCCGTTTGACCAGGTGGTGCGCCAATAAGGTTACCAGTGCGAGGTGGACAAGGACAGTAAGCAGCATCGGTGCCTGGAAGACCGGGCTCTCCTTGTTCGCCGGGGAGGCCTTCCATGCCTGGTGGCCCTTGCCTCCCTGCGCTTCCAGGTGGACCTTGTGGTCCAGGCGCACCAGGTGCTCCATCGAATCCATTTCTACCAGGACGTCCGGGTGCACCAGGCGGACCAGGCGGCCCTTTAGGACCGGGGAGACCTCGTCCTCGTTGTCCATCTCTACCTGGAGGTCCGGGTGGTCCAGGCATACCTGGTTGGCCTGAAAATCAAACAGGCATACAGCACAGAGTAGAATTTGTTTACTTTCGATAGCTTCGAAAGGAGCGTTGTCATTCATTCATGAAACTACTTTTATCAATTCATGTTGTTATCAACTAATGGCGTACTCATTGATCAGCAAGTACCATTTGCAACTGTAACCACAAACATAAATTTGATCTGATGACATACCATATTCCTTTATGTGGAAATTAAGCAGTCGAAGTACTAACCCATTGGCCCTGGTTCACCAGGTGGTCCTGTCAATCCCGGAGGACCATCCATGCCTGGTCTGCCTGGTTCTCCATCCGAACCGCTTCTTCCAGGCGGACCAGGTGGTCCATTTGGTCCCGGAGGTCCAGGTGGTCCAGGTGGACATTGAATGCATCCACTTCTCCCAACATCAGAAGATCCAAATCTTATTCCATCGGGCCCAGGTTTACCGGGCATCCCAGGTGGTCCATCCTCACCGTTCATTCCCGGATCACCCGGTGGACCTGGTGGACCTGGTGGGCATTTGACCGGCGATGGACTGCAGTTACAGATGGCGTTCTTTTGTCTTTTGTGACGTGTGAACATTGACTGAAGGTGTTGCGCTTTGTTTGGTGCAGCTGCACTGATCTCCATAGCAATCATATCATTCCAGGCATCGTTCGCAATCGCGTTGAACTCTTGCATTTCACTCATAATACCGCTGTACAACTCGTTCATATCATTTACCAGTTTTATACTCATTATCAGTGATACACCAACTATAAATGCGCTCAACGTGCACACACCTATTATCAGCAATTTCGTCCCCATTTTTTGTATTCCAAGCCTGAAACGCATGATTAATATCGCACACATAAAATCAGATAGAAAATAGACTAATGCATAAATAATTCGAAAATTATTGAAAACTTTTTAGAGGTAGTAAATGGATCACAGAACTGATCACTTATGAGAGCTGTTCAAATCCTGCTGAGATAGCAGCCATAAATTGTCGATGTAAACGCTTCATTAGAGCACGATAAGCCGTTTGAATGCAACAGCAAATTATCGCGTCAAGTAATAGAGTGATATCTGTATC